TGTTTGGCTGGTCAGCGTCTACCAAATAGGGGGAACAATTTTCGAGAGAGGAGGTTCAAAATGTGCCGGCCACCCCTCGAATTTCCGTTGTTGACCAATAGACCTGTTGCAAAATGTACGGCGCTACGACGGCAGGGAATTTTGGGAACCTTCGGTACAGATCACGCGCTTTCTCGTTGCGCCTCCGCGACTGCGCGCGCGTCCCGGCAGCTACCGCCAGCGGCCGTTACAGCCATCCGCCATCCCGCCCATCCGCCGAGTTGTACGTCGTTGGTGGCGTACCGTATCTGTGGCAGCGTAAAGGCATCGCGACAGGTGAACTTATTTGAATACATCATTCGTCGTAACTTACATTCACGCATTCAAGTGTCACCGAATCCCCTTATTTTCCACCGCAACCGTGGCAGGTTTGGACCAGGTTCAAAAGCGTTTCTGCAGCAGATGACAGAGCCGGTACAAAGGAGAGGGATGAGAGAGGGGCAGCCGTTGGCTCGTCACTCGTCCGACCCGGTTGCTCAAACGTTGTTGCCGTGGTAACCTGCGCCTGCTCGCGTACACCACGTGGTAGCGGGAGGAGAGACGTTGGGAGAAGCGTACAGAAGACTCCAATTATTCGTCGCGCGGCGCGCGCGGGCTTTTCGGATGTTTGCAAAGGGTCTATTGCTGCTAGGAGTTTGCAGAATAAACTTGGCAGTGAGGTATGCATTTGTTCTACATGCTCTGTTGGACCAGAATCTGGGTGTACTTCCAACTCCGCTGTTGCTGAAAGGCTTTGTGGACCTTCTCTGGTTCACAGAGGTTCTCAACATCTTTGGATCAGCCTTCCAAGGGATCTTCGTGGGACAGGTCGGCGCCCGCGGGCAAAGTTGGCTGAGCGCCTCCCGAAGAGTTATCCAGGACATCTTTGTACAGGGGCGTCTCCGGTGATTCCCTACTTTCAGGCTACCTTTCCGAACGCGGCAAATGTTCCGGGAAGGTCGCAAACACGCTTGGGACGGCGTTGGGTTTCCGAATTCCACTTACCCCGTGGCGTTAGGACGACTTCTTTACGAATCTCCTGCTCAAAGTACTTCAAAATGTCCTCTTCCTTAAAGTACAAATCACAGAAGAAGTCCTTGTGCGATAGGTCTCGCCAAGGGAGTTTTTTCGCCTCTAAGGCGCGTCGTTTCTTGTCCAAAAAAACATTGAAGAAATGTCTTGCCTGATCACCTGGCGCCGACCGTTTACGTTGTCGACACTCCGGTGCGCAGCATGCCACCCGTATATTCTGAAAAGATTGTAGGCTCACAGATTGTTGCTTCATCAGTTTTTAACAATGTGTAATGTCTGATGCATTGAATACAACTCTTTGTGTTATATTTCCGAGGTGTGAAATGCGCGCGGGCGTCCCCGCCGCAGCTGTTGCAAACGACCGAGGGAATGTTCGCGCGCGCGAGATCATTACTTGGCGCCGATGTCAGACGACACTTGAAATAGGGTTCAGGGTAAACAGGAAAACAGATTCACTACTTTATTGGTTGAAAAAATAAACGGAATTTTTAATATGTGACTCCCAACAGCAGCATAAACAACTTTAAAGTCGTCTGCTGCTGTCAAAAAGAGCGCCGTAAACATCGGTAAGCGCGGTAAGCCAGAAGCAACGTCCAGAAACGCGTCGTAAATGATGATGATAGCCAGTATTAATGCGGAGTGCGCGCCCTCTGGCAGGCGCCACTCAAAGAGACCCCCCTCCGGAGGGGGGTTCCACAACTGAGTTGGTTCTAGTAACGTTGGTGTTGACAGCATGTGGATAGCGAGCTTGGGCGTACGGTCCTCGATTATTCTGCACCACAAAATACGCAATAAAATTAAGTGCCGTGAGTTCTCTCGTTCTCACAAAAGTAGTTTTTGTGTGTGTTTGTTTGTTTTATACAACTACCATACATCACATATAGTGGGTCGTACACCCGCAGGCTATATGAAGGTGAACGCCGGACCGTCGACCGGTCCGTGTTATCAGCGCCATGACGCGGCTGCCGTGGCGGCTCGCTTTCTTACCGCGCGCTTCACCGAGAGTAAGTGCCTGGATCGAGCGCCGTTCTCAGCTCTGCTGCTACTCCCTGCTGAAATCCTGGAAGTGGGTTTCGATTTCGGCATCACTTTTTGTGGTCGCCGTACCCACCTCATTGCCGGCAAATGATTTGCACATTGCACGTGAACTAGAGCGGACGCTGCTTGGCATGGTTTATACGTGACTCAAACGCTTTCTTCATTCATGATCGATCGCTAATAACTGCAGCAAACGTTCTGCAATGAGGAATGATTGCATGAACGATTCCGCGTGCAACCCTACAAAGCAACTGGAATGCATGATAACCCTGCTCCGCGAAACGTCACCACCGCTCTTCTCATCGACACATTTTGCCTAAATGTTTTATTCCTTCTCGTATACACCAGTCTGTCTAAATGCTGGCTCTTACTTCTGACGCCACCGACGTCTACCTCCTGTTTTTTGTTTTTTTTTTAGCTACTAGAAGCTATGCACATAAATTGGTGCAATCTCAAAGCAGGCCAACGAGGCAATTTCCCGTTTTAGCCGCCGGCAGCTTGTACCCGCTGGGTTCAATATAAATCGATCGCTGCGTGGAAAACTCCTTCGAATGGCAACGATGCGGGTTTGGAAAGTTTGCTGACCATGGAAAAGATAAGCCGGGGGAGGCTCTATTTTCCCGCTGTTTTATGCTAATGACTCCGAGGACCGCTGTCAATATCGGTTCGTCCTTCATTCGGTCGCTCGTTTAGTTGAACTAATGGTGTTGGAATACGCGATAACGCGGTCCTGGAAGCGGACTCCGCTTCGTGTGTGGCACCCTAGTTTCGACGGGCCCCAATCGCTGTTACGATGACGCGTTTTGCTTTGTACTGCTTCTAACCATACAAATATTCTACGTGTTTTCGAAAATAACCTATTTTTTCGCTCCCGACGTGCTGAATCAAGGTTGAAATTTCATAAGGTCACCGACGGCGTAAAAGCCGCGCTTACGCTGTCAACAGATCGAGCAAAAGATAGTCTGCACAAACTGTCCGGGGCGTGTCTCTTTCCTTGTATGACAGTCACGTGGGTCATACAAAAAATTGTCTGCAGACGTGTTCCAAACATATACGTAGGTGAATGAAGCAAACATGCTAGGGAATTGCATAAGGCGCTTCCCCAGATAGTAGGGAGTTTTAGGGAACCGTTCTCGCCCAGATAGTTGGGAGTTTTGGGGAACTGTTTTTGCCCAGATGGTAGGGAGTTTTGGGGAACCGTTTTTGCACGTCCGATATGGTACGATGGGTCCTCCGGTACGAACTGCGCATGCGCTACCGCAGAAGACTCGCTCATGCGCAGTACGTACCGGAGGGCCCATCGTTCCGTATCAGATGTGCAAAGACGGTTTCCTAAAACTCCCTAGTAAAGCGTTTAGGGAACTGTCTTTGCACATCCGATATGGTACGATAGACCCTCCGGTACGAACTGTGTATGCACTACTACATCAGAAGACTCTCATATGCGCAGTATGTACCGGAGGGCCCATCGTAGCGTGTCAGGTGTGCAAAGACGGTTCGCTAGAACTCCCTAGTAAAGAGTTTTAGGGAACTGTCTTTGCACATCCGATACGGTACGAAAGACCCTCCGGTACGAACTGTGTATGCACTACTACATCAAAAGACTCCCATATGCGCAGTTCGTACCGGAGGGCCCATCGTACCGTATCAGATGTGCAAAGACGGTTCCCTAAAACTCCCTATATAGTAGAGAGTTTTAGGGAACTGTCTTTGCATATCCGATACGGTACGAACTGTGTATGCACTACATCAGAAGACTCCCATATGCGCAGATCGTACCGGAGGGCCCATCGTAACGTATCGGATGTGCAGAAACGATTCCCTAAAACTTCCTATTTCCGTCATCACGTACGCGGTGAATGCCGTGCCTTGTGTATACGTGTGGGCAGTGTGTGAGGCTTTTAGAAATGGGTGGCGTGGCTATTAATGTTCCCTCTTCTGGGCCCGTTTGCTCGAAGCCGGTTAACTCTAAAGAGGGTTTCACATGCTGCGATTTTGGCCATAGGGCGGCGCGGCGCGATTTCTGCCGTGGCGGCGCTCTGGCCAGCCGCAGCGGCTGAGCGGCACGGTTCCACCGGGTTGGAAATTTTTCGCCGCGGCAGAGCGGCAGCTTCCGCGCTAGCCACTCACAGCGCGACGGGAAATCACGTGACAAGAGGAGGAATATTGCGGGAAAGCTGGTGCATAGGACGACGGCGTTTTCGCCTTTTCACGTTCTTGAAGCAGACGACGAGCAGAGAAAGCACGCAAGCGACTGGTTTGAGGTTTCGTTTTTCCGGCGAGTCGAGCTTCTTTGCTTCAGCAGTCGCGTCGGAACTGTTCAGGAGATTATAAAGGAGGGGGATTGCTGTCCCCTTCCTCGGAATTCGTTTTCTCAATGAATTACGCGGTTCTTTTTCACTTTCCTCGCCTGAGTACCAATAGCGAGCGCAAGAGACGCTAATCGGAAGCGGCTTGTACGAGCGTTAGTGAGGAAAACAAAAGAAAAAAAATAGCCGAGCGACACTGACTCGTCTTTTCCAAGACAGATCGTCACACCAAGTAAGTAAAATGTATCATGCCGCTGCGGACATCGTAACATAATTATGTGCGGATGCGACCCTAGAACGTTCAAATTATTTTTGTTTTATGTGTGCTTCGGACATGTCTGCAGAAAGCTTTGGTATCACCAATGTGACCATCATACAAGGAACACCTCAGACAGTAGAGAGTTTTAGTAGATCGTTCCGATACCTCCGATAGCCCCGATAACGATACTATGCATGCACAAGGAAGGCAGTGGCGGAGTATCGGGCATCGCTATCGGAGTCATGGGAACGATCTACTAAAACTCTCTAGTTTCTACAGACTGTTTTTTGTATGATGGTATTAACGCTGTGACGTTGGCTTAAATGTATTGAAACGTTACTCACGGACGGTGAGCGACGCCTTGGCCATGACAAGAACGCCCTGGATGCTGGCGATGCCGAGGAACGCCGGCCACAGCGTCACGTGGTTGCTGCCGTGGAAGCAGACCTTTTGTCCCGGAGTCAGACCCCGGTGTCTGAAGGCGGCCGCAAAGGCCATCGTCTGCTGCCACAGCTCGGAGAACGTGGTCGCAGCGCCGGTCACCCCGTCCACCTGAGCAGATGGAACTCCGCGTGAATTGAGCGCCATCGGTTCACTCCATTCGGCGAATAGGGAGATTTCGTAGACCGCGTCTCCCCCTCCGCTCAGCCTCCTACAACCAAGAGGCCGCTACTGAGCCTGCGCGCCGATGGCCTTGACTGTAGAGCTCCGGGTATGGTATCCAACTGAGAAGACTGTGGAGGCGAAAAAGATCAAGGAAAACTCCCTAAGATCTCGCGCCACGTTCCGGCACCCTGAAGGCCAACGAGCAGCCAGAAAGGAGAACACTTCCCCTCAATTAACTTTTTTCCATTCGAGAAAAAAAGAAAACCCTCGCCATTTCTGTGGAGAGCAGCTCAGTAACCACTCTTCTGTAGATAGAGGAGGAGAGAAGAGTGCGAGAGGGAATGGAGAGAGGAAAACTGGGAACCGGTTTTTTGCACTGTAGAAGGTGATTCTGAAGGCCCATCTTTAAAACGGCTGTCCAAACAGGACCAATACCCGTGGAAGACGACGCCTGCGTATTACGTCATTATTAAGTCGCGGACATACAGCTAATACATCATACAAAAGATAGTCTGCAGACACAGTCTATAAAATGTTTCTCCCTTGTACGAGCGTACTGTCACGTCGGTTCTATCTCGCACAGGTTACTAGAAAAAGGTAATCGATCACAATTACAATTACGCTTGGTTAGACGGTGTTCAATTGGATTACGTGATTACGTGACAAGAAAAATAATTGACCCTTGCCTGAGAAAAGAACAGTTAGTTTTACGATTACTACAAATGTTCAAAACGACAGCTTTTTTTTTTTTTTTTTTTGGTTTGAAAACGGGTTTTTGTACTACCCATTATTGCATTAGACTCACCAAACTAGAAATTACTTATCTGTTTAATCCACCAATTTCGGTACACCATACATCTGTTGGAGACTCGGTTTGAAGGTTCCTTGGTAGAAAAATTGTAAAAACAAATGGCGCCGTTAGAAAAGGGAGAACACTAAACGGCGGTCTGAATCAATAAATAAATCATGGCACCAGTTGTCATCGAAACAAGTGAGACAGATACGCGTAGCGCCGCTTAAAGGTGTATTTACATGGCGGACATGTCCCCGAAGAAGTGTTGACAAAAATGAGGACGTCCCCTTTTTGTAGTTCGAAATCCGCCATTTTCCAGGCGAAAAAGGCACGCAAAGCTCAAGGGCTGGTCCGCGGACCACAGGAAGGTGTCCGGGAACGAGTCCGCGGATCTGTTGAATGTTGCGTATCACGTAGGAAAACGTTATAAAATAGGTCCACGCACCTGTCGTACCACGGTTATCGAAATTTTAAACCCGTTCAATTGCCGCTTTTTCCGGGTTCGGCGAGGCCGATCCATGCCAAGCCCGCGGACTCGGCTAACTCAGAAGGAACCAATCGCGCCAAACTGCTCGAGCAACAATGGATTCACAAGTCGTCGTCTTGTTGTTGTTGTTGTTGTTGTTTTCTACGGACCACTTTTAGAATTTGCTTATATGGCTTCCCTAGTTACACGAGCGCCTGTCAGCTGTTATTAAAGGAGCGATGCAACAATTTTTGTACTTTGCGCAAATACCGCTTAAAACGGAACCCTAACGTTAATAGACAGTTTTAGTGGACCGTAAGCTATAGCTTTGCGTACGCAAGGAAATTGGGGGTCGTGAGTGCGCATGGGCAGAACGCAATAAAAGGGCTAGCGTATTGCGTACGCGCGCAACGCTGGGGATTTTGCGTTGCTGGCTAGCGGGCCTTGCGGGACGCTCTCGAGAGATCTCGGACCCAACGAGAGCGCCAGTTTCAAGATGGCGGTTGCCTCGACTGGCGCAGCAAGGGCGACGTGGTGTTTTCCAAGTTCTGTGTTACGTGAAATTGCGTGGTGTTGAGCTCGGCGATTCTTTCTGGGACCTACCGCGGTCGAATCAGATCGCCGTGCAGCTGAAGGAGTGCACAGTGAAAATGTTCGCCGCTCGGAATGTGCGTCGACGCTGCGATCTGCTCAACGCTAAGCCTATTCCCACAGTTCATCGCCGACGGACGAACGACTCTAAAGGAAATCGCCGAAGTTCTCGCTATGCACCGGACATCAGGGTCATGAATTTCATTCCGCGATAGCATTGATAAAAGGTGCCGTTTCCACGGGACGAGTGACAGAGGCTCCGTGATCGAATTTGGCTACGCACTCGTACTCGTAGCCTCTGTACCCCGCAGAAAAGCGCGCTTGAGGAGGCAGCTGTGGCTTGGTTTAATTTGAAATAAAATGATTGGACAGGTTTTCATTTTCAATGGACAGTTTTAGTATAGCGTTGCTGGGTTGCTACGGTACTAGCAAATTTAACCAAGATCATGCGCGGTGTTCACTCGAAAACGTAACGCACAACTAAATTCGGTCCGAGCAGTTCATTTTTAGCGTACGCTATACTGTTGCGTATTGCGTACGTAAGATCCAGCAACGCTATACTAAAACTGTCTAATGACCTATGAAACACGCGTTCGTTCTTCGCCCCACGCAATATAGAAGTCCCAGAAAAAAATTTAAGAAAAACGAGCAGCGTTCACCCCTTCAACTCACAGCCAGAACAAGAGGTCACGTGATCTGGAGCCGATTATATGCCGCCAGTGTTGATCATAGCCACGTGCTGGGGTTGGCAAAGCGCAGGACACGCCCTGAGTTCCAGACATTGTTATGGCTCGGCTGTTGTCGTCGTTGCAGCGATTGGACACGGGTCACTATCCGAATGCTTCTCGAGCTAGCAATTATCACGAGCCCAAGTCGAGTGTCCTCGCAATGCTCGGGTCCAATCTATGAACCGCCTTCAAATATCGTCACTTGGGTGTACTGCGATCCCCACGTTACGTCATCAAATTTTGCCATGGAGAGATTGAATGAAAATGATCGCTGTTGTCCTTGAAATTACACCGCAACAAAGGAGTTTCTTGGCCAGTGGCGTTGCGTGTGGGTATCCTTGAGTCCCAGGTGTGCCAGTAAGGTCGTGTAGAGTGAAAAACATTCCAATTAAATATCGTTGCCAAGGTCCTTTAGGCCAAGGACACTTGACACAATCGCAATCGGCCGGAGTTTCACCGCGGCGCCAACTGTAACTGAGCCGCGAACAATCGCTGTCTTGAACTGAGCTTGCCTACCTCAGTTAACTGGACCCCTTCCGAAACACTGCCTTTTGTTGGCGGCTGGTGGAATCCCTGCACAATGGCGGACTAACACCTCTACGACAGGGCACATATCATGCGTTTGGTTGGATTAGAAGGCAAACACAAACTCAGTGACGTTGCACTGTCGACACTGTTTGATTAAATCGTCGGCTCCTAGTGTAGGTCTTGTAGCAACGGTCGCTATTTGATGGAATGACTTGAACGTTCCACGATGTCAGATGCTTCGCCATTGTGCAGTAATTCCGACCGACGACCTTCTGTAATCCTCACCGGCCCACAGAGTCGCTTCCAATGGAAGACGATGTCGCCGATGAAATGCGTCGCTTTGCCATTGGCGGCGCTCAATAAAGGCTTTTCTGCGACCCAAACGTGGTTCACAGACTGTCTGGGACACGGTCCGCACGGGCGTGCGGCTGGTGGTATCTGTTTCTCGGGAACACCTAGCGCAGCGTGACGCCAGCAGGCTGCAGTAACTGTAGCACTTAGCAGTGTGCGTCGTTCTCACGTTTGCTTGGATAGAAACAACACGTTTCTCAGGCACAGAGGCGCAAGGGCGTTTTTATAGCCCCGACTGTTATTATGCCATCGCCGAAATTAGACGCGTTCTCGTATCACGCATAAATAGCCACAGTGCTGGCAGCCGGCGCCTTTAGTGACGAATCTGTCACGCGACCACCGACTGACGGCTGAATCCCGCAAGGCCCGCGAGGAGAGCAGGTCAGGACCACAGAAGGCCGCCGCGTTTTGCGAGCCTTCAATTTATAGGTGGATAATCGAGGAAGCAAAAAATCATTTACGCAGCACCGCGAAGTCATGGCGTGACGAAACGCTGCCGCCGCGGCCGTGTGCTACAAGGTGCGTGCTGGCACCTTTTTTTGTCTGCAGGTCGAGATTACAGTAAGTCGTGTTTCGACCCTCTAATAATCGGCACGTGGCTCTCGTAAGGGCGAAAGATGGCGGCGTCCGTCGCATTACCGCCGACGGCCAGCGCAAGCGAAGCACTTACTATTGTGGAAGATGGGGGAGGTATCTAGGACGGATCATAGCAGCAAATATTGTCGGAATAGGTATGATTCGGGGCCAGAGCTGGCCGCTGAAAAATCACGGCACTTCGCGGAAGTCCACGCTGGACGAGCGCGGCCATTGTCATATCGATGCCGACAAGATTTTCGTTATGTCTCTCTTGCTTAAATTGGTGTGAAACGTTCTGGTGTTTGTGGAGAATAACATAGAGGACGAAAACAGGACGACACGTATCTGTGGTTTTCGTCCTCTATGTTATTCTCCACAAACACCGTAACTTAACCAGCACGCTCCATTTCCACGAGCGAAACGTTCTGATTACCGTTTCTTTGCTCTAAAAAAATACTTTATTATATTTCGTGTTAACCGTTTATACAGAATAAAAAGGTTGCATATAATTCATTTGCACCTCTTAAGAAAAAAATGACCGCATCTCCACGTGGTGAATGATGTTGATTGGGGCGAATCTCTGGTGGTGAATGTCTGCGTAGACGCTGAGCCGCAGCATGCCGAGTCTTTCGTTCGTTTTCATCCATATGGGAAAGAGAATGTGTGGTATGGAACGTGGTTATATACGCATTCGAGCATTTGACCGCAGCGCCCTCTCGTCTATAAACGTTGAGCCAATGCATGCAAACGCGAATATATATGCATTTGACCGCAGCGCCCTTTCCTGTATAGACGTTGGGCGGCTACATGCAACGTTTCATCCATGATATCCCCAGCTCTTGAGTTACTACCACATCTCAGAGCCCCCTACTCGTCCCGCAGTCGTGGCCGAGTGGTTAAGGCGATGGACTAG